AGCGAATCGACACCACTTCTCATCCCCTCACCCTCATGTGGCTTCCTTCAGTCCTTCACCATCTTCTCTCTCTTTTTCTCCAGCTATAAATCTCTAATCAATGCTATATATATATATATATATATTTATTGATGTATCAAGTTATACCTTTTCACAGATTGATTCTCCTTTTGTTATCATGGGTTTTGTTTTCACAGTTAGATCATCCCTAGTTTTATTTTGATTCTCTTTTCACTGTTTGATTCCGTAACAATAAGAATCCAAAAAAAACCCTAAAATTTAATTGGGGACGGGGTTGTGGCGGGGCGGGGACGGGGCAAGCGATAGTGGGGTCGGGGCAGTTATGGGGGTGGGGGTAAGATTTTAATCGGTTTTGGGGGTAGTTTTGGGATACCAAAATTAAACGGGGGCGGGGATGGGGAATGGAAAACCCGCCCCAAACCGCCCCATTGCCATCCCTAGTCCTGTTGCTATTCCTTGCCTAATTCCAATCAATTCTCAGTAAATTAGTATAGAATAAAATCTTAGCATTACTTTGAAATCCAACCGAACTCTTAACTAAAAATACGTCAGTGAATAGCCACGTATTTGTTGAGGTCTACAAGTCTACTTTACAATACAAAAAACAATGCTCAATTAAGACATTTTTATAAAGAGTTATGGTCTTTTTAGGGAAATGTATTTTTACCAACTGAAATCTTCACCGGAGATGACAACGGAGATGGCAACAGACGGAGTTGGCTAAATCTTACTCTGTCCCGCTAGATATTTATCATATCAATTCTAAATCCTACTCCGCCCCGCTAGATATTTATCATATCAATTCTACCTCTATTCCTGAACGGGTTTGTAATTGTTATACCATCTTTACTCCTACTGCGGTAGATAAAATACCAATTCCGCCCATATACTCCGTTTAATTGCGGGGTGGGCCGAGTTATGCCACTTTTATTACATAGTTAAAAAAAAAAAAAAAAAATTAGCCCAATGTACTCAAATTGGGGTGATAAAAAAAATAAATAAATAAAATGTACATATATAATCGGATTGGGATATCACTAAATTCGCCCCTACTCCAAACTCGCTTCAAATTTTTAATTATTTTAGCATACTAGTCCTAAACCCATTTAGGGGCCACTTTTGATCAATTTCAAAATGTATTAGCTGTGAGTCATGTCTTTTCATTATCTTTGCTTTACCTTTGTACAGTTTGGCAGCCAAATTTATAATTTAATGTTGCATATTACTTAGGTTCTGAATGTATCTTTTTCAAAAGTAATTATTTTAGTTCGTCCCTCTTATTTCACTCGTTGGTGTTTGAGGGTGCATGTTAAACTAAAATTCTGTTTGTTTAGATATAAAATATTTTTTAAAAAAATTATTTTTTTGATGTTTAATTGCCGTAAAATATTTACGAAAAAAAAAATTTAAAATCTAACAATAATAACTTACCCATCAATTTTCGCAAGATATTTTACAGGTTTCGCCCGATGGTCTCGATTTCAATCTCAATCTAGATCTTTGCCAAACACAGAAAAAGTAAAAATAAAAAATTATTTTACCTGAAAAAGAAAAATCTTTTACGAGAAAAATATTTTACGTCGAAACAAACCGAGCTTAAAGGTAGTTTCTTTTTGGCTACCCAGATATAAAAATGATAATACTTAGGTCCATAATCAAAGATGATGAGTGAGAATGTACCCCACCATATCTAATCTGGTAATTAAAGAAGATGTATGATCCACATCAGGGATGTATCATCACTGGTGATAACATAAGTATTAGAGCATTTCCAGCAATAACATAAGTATTAGAGCATTTTCAGTAGTCTGTTAAAACACATTTTTGTGTAAAATATACACTGCCACGAATAATCTGTTAAGATACACAAATATATAAAATTGTTGTGTATTTTACACAACCTTTTTATATAGCCACAACATATTTCCTTTCTCCTTTCCTTTTCTCATTCTATTAATGAATCAACTCTATATTAAGTAGGTTTGTAAAAATTATGTGGGATCCAGACATTACAGGTTAATTGTTATTGGGGGATATATTTTTACACAAAAGTATAAAACAAGAGCTAAAAATAAATAATCCAAATTTGTTTTGTGTAAATCTATCATGATACATCATATTTACACAACGGTTGAAGATGCTCTTAAACAATATTTATCTACTCACTGGTGGGTAAGGTCATCCTTAGTTGATGTGATCTAATTTAATCATAAATGCACACATTAAAAGCATCTTCAACAATCGTTAAAATACTCTTTTATGTAAAATATACACTATGATGCCTTACGTGTAAAATATAAACTACCAAACGTGTAAAAAAAATTTATTCTCTAGTAGAATGTTAAGATATACTGCGACATCATCAATGTGTAAAATTATTGTGTATTTTACACAACCTTTTTACACAGTCACATTAGCATATTTCCTTTTTCCTCCATATTTCTTATTCAATTAACGAATCAACCCTATATTAAATAGGTTCGTAAATATTATGTGGGATCCAGGCATGACACTGATTGACTGTTGGAGCTAAAAATAAATAATTTATTTATTTATTTTTTTTTTTTGTAAATGTATTATGACACATCAAATTTATAATATATATATATATATATATACATACACACAACAGTTAAAGATCCTTTAAGAAAAACGATAAATAAAGAAATCAGGACAAAAAAAAAAATTTATTGCTTTTATTTATCACTTTCCTGAATTTATAACTTTAGACTAAATGCATATGTAATTTAACCACATGAGCGACGATGACCTACTCTCCGAGAGCAAACAATTATTATTCTTCCTAAAAAATAAGTGAAATGAGTCAAATTTGTACTGAAATCCAATTGGCATTTTTAATTTAATAACATAATAAAAAGTGTTTTTTATTCTTTTAGAGACACAAATAAAGACCACATGTTGGAAGTGTAGCATGTTTTCTCTTTTTCAGTTTTTGAATCAAATCTAAGAAATTATACTCTTTTCTTTTTTCTTTTTCTTTTTCTTTTTTTTCCTTTTTTTTATTTTATTTAGAGAAATCACACTAATTACTTCAAATCGTGGCCTACATAATTCTTGCATGACTGAATTCATTTTTATTGCAACCAAAAATATGAGGAAAGTACTACCCTCTAAATTGGGCACAGGTCTACTGTTGTTCAAATTTTAGGAGTGGACATTGACCTATGGGTGGTACTTTGATAGTTCGAGGCAAGATCTGGCAATTTATGGGCATAAAAAAACAAATTAGGGTTTTCAATACTGCAACGAGTTTTATTCATATACCACCTTCACAAGTCAATAAGATTTACCTTGAACCTTACAATGATGTTTAACTAATGAACCTGACTTGTTCCGCAGACCATTGTAATATTAAAAGGCACCTTCTCCGAAATTGGCGTTCTATTACTTAGGGCTTGTTTAATACACATTTCGTTTTTAGTATTTTTATTTTTGTTGGATATTGTAGCAGTATTTTTGAAAAAAATTGTATTTGATAAAAAAAATAATATATTTTGTTTTGCACGGTACCGAAACGTTTCGTAAATAATAACCAAAAGTCGAAACACCAATTTAATTTTTTTACATGTTTCCGCACCGTATAACAGGTACTATAGCAATGTACAACACCCAAAAAAAAGATTAAATAAATAGATAACTCTGAAATAACCTTTTTAAATTAGCCACTATAGTTTAAACTTGCAACATTTTTTTACCAAATATGTTTTTATGTTTCTGCCTTCTTTACAGTAAATAAACATTACCAAAAATGCTACCTATTGCTATTCAAAACACAAAACACTTGTTTTGTTTTGAATTAAAACAATTGCAAAAATAAAATACCCCTTGGTAAGTGAAAATAACCTATACAATTCACAAATTCATGCCCATAGGGCAAACAGGGTCTTAGGCCCAAACAAAATACCTAAAAGCTAAACAACCCAACAACTAGGAGATGAAATGTTAGTATCAGTTGGGTTGGTAGTTCAAATATGTTGGTAGCAATGTCTAAATTCTCAAAAGATCTTAGGTTCAAACAGTGGTATCATTCAGAAGATAAATTATTATTACATGGTGAAATCAACAAAGAGGTATTTCAAAATACCTCAACTTTTATTCCATTTTTCATCCTAATTAATTTTATTTTGTGTAAAATGGACCTATTTAGAGAGAGAGAGAGAGAGAGCAGGGAACTAGCTAGTTAGAAACCTAGCTGGTGTTTATTAGAATCCGTTTGATATGCGCTTTGTTTTAGGTGTTTTATTAACAGAAACAATGTTTTTGCTATATGAGTGATTTGGAAAAAAATCGGAAACACGTTTGGAAACGATTTTTTGCTGTGAAAATATCAGAAACAGAAACATGCACAGTTATGGTTTTAGGCCATGAACAGTTGTCAAAACAAGAAAAACATCTTTTTGGTGTTTTGGTTTTGGGCCACTGGTTCACGAAGTATTTTAGCACTGTGTAAAATAAAACAAGGTCGCACCAAACATGCTTTTGTTGCCAAAATCGATACTATAGCATCCCAAAAACAAAAATAATAGAAACAAAACGCAACTGGCCCTGATTTCATTAGTTAATGATTTCATGAGTTAATTAATATACAGGAAGTCATATAGAGTTTATATTTTGGAGATATCTATTTTATACAAGTTTCTGGGAAAGAAGAGTTTGAACTTTCAAGTAACCTTGTATGCTTCTAATATGATTTTACAGCTCCATGTTATTAAAATGTAGAATCCAAACTTCACAATTATTCAGTGTAGAACTATTTACATCATTCAGTTCTCTAGGGCTATATTCTTTGTACAATCATGGGCAATATTGTCTTTTCTCAACACCTCAGTCTATTTTATAGTTTGATATATGGTGACACAACTTGAATCGAACCATTTCTTATAGGTTCAATCACTACATTTACTCTTCATAACATGCTTATTTTAAAGTAGATATCTCACTTAAAGATTCAAATGACATTACCCAGAAAAAAATATATATTTCAAAAGTATTTTTCCATACAGAATCAACATTGACAACATCGCGAGCCGAAAGGTTAAAATCTTCTAAATGCAAAACAATTTTTCATCATAAATGATGCAATGAAAAGACTAAATCTCCATTTTAGTCTAAGCAAGCAAAGTATCCCATTCATCGGCAACACTTCTCAAATTAGTCCAAGACTTGAGTATAAGCTTGGTAGAAAAACAAAAACAAAAGTATGTCTCAGAAAACTGTCAAGTTTTGATTGGGTATGTTTGGTATAAAAAATCACTGAGACAGCGAGCTTGTACCTGAGGCCTTGTGACTTTAGGAGAAAATCTTTGGAGGAAAGAAGTGAAATGATTCTGTCTATCGTTCCCTAAATCATGCAAAAGTTCTCCTCCTTTCCAGCATTGCATCAGAGAGTTTCACAGCATCCAAATTATCTCTAACGTTATGTACTCTTACAATATTTGCACCATTCAGAACTCCAGCAGTGACAGCTGCAACAGTTGCCGGATCTCTCTCAAGTGCGACAGGGCGAGTGCAAATTTCACCTAAAAATCTTTTTCTAGAAGGTCCAATCAATATAGGAGCATGAGAAACAGCCAAACTCTTCTTGGCAATCTCTGTTCGAATGGTTGGTAAACCCATGAGAATGTCTATATTATGTTCGGTTTTCTTTGAGAATCCAATTCCGGGGTCAATAATAATCCTCCAAGCTGGGATACCTGATAATTCTGCACCTTTAACACGCAAGAACAACTCGGATGCAATCTGTCCACAAACGTTCTCATACTTCAGGTTTTCACTGTCCTGCATCGTAGATGGATCCCCTCTCATGTGCATTGCTACATAAGGAACTCTAAGATCTGCAACAACATTAAGGATGTTAGGGTCTAACTGTCCACCTGATACATCATTTATAAGATGAGCCCCCTTGTTGATTGCTTCTGAAGCAACCTCTGAATAAAAAGTATCTACAGATAAAAGTTTCCCCTCCACCTCAGGCATCTTTAGAACAGCTTCAAGGACGGGAATCAGCCTATCTAATTCTTCCTCAGCAGAAATTCTTGTTGCCATCGGGCGTGTGGATTGCGCACCAAGATCAATCATATCTGCACCCTCTGAAATCATTGTACGGACCTGAGAAACAGCAGCCTCCACAGACTGAAACTTCCCTCCATCGCTAAAACTGTCGGGGGTTAAATTAAGGACACCCATGACAGAGGTTCTTTCTGACCAGTCCCATATCTGATTTCCAACAGGTAAAACTCTATTCAACCCATCTTTTCCGATTAGGGATTCACCACCCAGCTTCTCCCATGATTCAAAAAGTCCACCAGAACGGACTGAAAATGAATGCCAGCATGCAACAGTATCACTATCTATAGCTGATCCCAGTAAATCCATCAATGGGGCCATTACAAATGGTCTCTCCCAAAGTCTCTCATGGGGAATGGTAAGAGTCTCAGAATTAATCTTGAATTTTCCATAAAACAATATATCCAAGTCTATTGGTCTTGGTCCATACCTAATCCCATCAGTGCGACCCAAGTCCTTTTCGATTTTCTTAAGTACTCCCAGTAGTTCATGAGGCCCATGTTTGGTAATACCTCTAACAGCGGAGTTAAGAAAACGAGGCTGGTCAGTCACATAGACAGGATTTGTCTCATATAAACAACCATGTCTTGTGATGTGGATGCCTGATTTCTTCATTAGCTGCAAAGCGTCATCAAAATTACGAAGTCTATCACCCACATTGCTTCCTAAAGCAATTACCACTTCCTGCTCTTGAGAATGATTTTCCACATTGGTAGTTGGAGAGGAATGGAGGAAAGAAACACATGTACCTGCAACGAAGATCCAGGAAAGAAAAGTAGCTTCAGCATTATACCAAAAATATCATCATATATTCATTTACTGCATTTACCAAAATATCATCTCTTGACCGCATTTACTTGTCCGTTATTTCAAAAAGAAACTTTTTTATTTTATTTTATTATTCTGATAAAGAAACTGAAAATCAGTTGTTTGTTTGTTCTATCTGTATCTAACAATCAGATCAGTTGATGCATTAGAATATGTAAAAGATTTCCTGCAGTCATTCATGAAACCTCTTGGGGAAATACACCCCACAAAAAAGAGATTGTAGAACAGAAGACAATTGATTGACGTTTCTAGAACTTGCTGATTCAATTCAAGTTCCTAAGGAATTTTGGGGAATGTTTGAAATGCATTCTTATTAGTTGCGTGCCTTTATTTGCTCTTAGAGGAAATTTTCTTACTCTGATGTAACTAGAGCAGCTTCATTTGGGTTGCCACGTCGAGTTTTTCATTGTGAATACTTTGCTCAAGTTCTTGCTCCAGATTTTATAAATTGGATACTATCACTTATAAAAAAAAATAAAAAATAAAATGGATCTCCATACCATTAATCTCAGTAAGTTACCTTTTTTTTTTTTTTTTTTTTTTTTTTTTTGATAAGTATTATCTCAGTAAGTTACTTAAACTTGAAAGAGGGAACAAGTGTATCGTAAAACTCATTGATGTTTTTTTTAACAAAAATATTACCTCTTTCTGAAATATATTATTCTTTTCCCACAAGATTTTGCTCAAAGTAATGATATTTTGGTAGCTCCACCTTCATTACCTTAAACGATTGCTTATGAGTCATTACCTATCACCGAATCACCTGTTCCAGTGGCTAAACCATTTAAGGTCTATTATCAAATGCCAGAGTCCATGTAGATCAAGCTATTCCTGTACCTCAACTGTCTTTTCAACCGAAGCTTCCCAGTCTGAAAGAATACTTCTTCTCAGGATCTTCTCATTCCCCTTTCAAAGGTACTCATTCTTGTAATCGCCATCCTATAGATTAAAATTTTCCATTTATCCAAGTAATTATTTTTTATTTTTGTTCCCTGATTGTCTATTTTTTATTGTTCCTCATTTACATTTCAGGCATCACCTTCTGCTGACTGGAACCAAAATATGGATAAGGAGATGGCAGTCTTGCACCGGATTGATAAAAAGAGCTCATCTGTTGCCACCAAGAAAGTGGTATAGTGTATTTTGGATTTTACTAAGAAATGCCACCTTCATGGAACTATTGAGCATTTTAAGGCTCAATTGTAACGAAAAGGTATATACTTAAACCTTTAGAGTTCACTATTTTAAGGTGTTTTTACCTGTGACTCATCTTAATTCTAATTGATTTTTTTATGCTCGGGCCTACAAGCATACGGACAAGTTTGTGTGTGAGAACAGCCATTTTGTGCAGAATAATGCCAAATATTAGATCTTTCTCTAGTTTTCCACTTCCAACAGTAAGGGGAAAATAGTGGGAAGCAGGGAGGAGGGGCACTAATTATCTTTGGTTCTCAATGAAGATACGAATTATTACATGGAACGTCCGTGGATTAAATGATCCGGACAAAAGAAAGGTCGTTAAAGTTGCTTTGAAGAAGTGGAATGCCCATGTTATTTGCTTGCAAGAAACCAAGTTGGCTTCTATTTCTGATGCCGTGGTTAGAAGCCTTTGGGGAAGTAGGTTCGTGGATTGGGAAGCTTTGAACGCTTATGGTACATCAGGCGGTATTCTTATTATGTGGGATCGTAGATGGATGTCTAGAACGAATATTTGGAAAGGGCTATCTAGATGGAAGATGATAACTTCAGTTGAGTAATTTCTGGAGTTTATGGACCCGTTATTGATTGTGTTAGCCCTGCTTTTTGGCAAGAACTCAGTTACATTAAGGATTTGTGGCCGTTGCCTTGGTGCTTAGGTGGGGATTTCAATTCTGTTCGGTCTCCATTTGAAAGATCCAGGGGGGAGGTGGTCTTCAGAGATGACCCAGTTCTCTGACTTTATTGATGGTCACCTTCTTATTGACTTGCCTTTGGAAGGGGCAACTTTCACTTGGTCTAGTGGCAGAGACCCAGTTACTTTATCGAGGCTTGATAGATTCCTGATTTCTGGAGATTGGGAGGAGAAGTTTCTGGATGTCACTCAGTCAGCTTTGGTTAGAGTCACGTCTGATCATATGCCCTTAGTTCTTGATTGTGGAGGCATGAGATCTAGACGGACTCCATTTCGTTTCGAAAATATGTGGTTGAGAGCTGAGGACTTTCAAGGGAAGGTCCAGTCCTGGTGGGAAGAAACAACGCTTAATGGCTCTAATAGCTATGTGCTTGCTAAGAAGTTTCAGATTCTCAAATCTGAGCTTAAGAAATGGAATAAAGAAGTGTTTGGGAATCTTGAATGGAAGAAAAATAGAGTCCTGGCTGATATCGTTGATCTTGATCGTCTTGATGAGACAGGGCAAGATACGGATTCTCTTCGCTCTAGAAGAGCGACTTGTCAGGCAACTTTTGCTGAGATTGCCACTATAGAGGAGATATCGTGGCGTCAGAAATCTCGGGCTTTGTGGCTTAAAGAAGGTGACCGTAATACTAAATTCTTTCACAGACTTGCTAACGCTCATAGAAGATACAATAATATTGGGCGTATTCGTGTGAATGATTCAGAGCTGTAGAAGGAAGATGAGGTGCGTGGGGGTATTGTTTCTTTTTATCAGCAGCTCTATACTGAGACTTTGGAATGGAGACCAAAACTTCATGGTTTGCACTTCAATGCTATTTCTACGCTGGATAGTGATATGCTTGAGGTTCCTTTCTCTGAAGAGGAAGTTCTTAAGGCGTTATCCAGTTGCACTGGTGATAAAGCTCCAAGGCCAGATGGATTCACTATGCGGTTTCTTAAAGAGAGTTGGGAGGTGGTGCATAAAGAGGTAATGGGCACTTTTCAGGAATTTTATTCTCATGGCACATTCGAGAAATCATTAAATGCAACATTTATAGCTCTTATTCCTAAGAAGAGCAACGCCTCTGACATTAAGGACTTTCGGCCAATCAGTTTAGTGGGGTGTATGTATAAACTTATCGCCAAGGTTCTTGTTCTTAGAATGTGGACTTTCTTTTGGATGGAATCATTTCAGAGTCACAAAATGCTTTTGTTGGGAGTAGACAGATTTTAGATTCTGTTCTTATTGCAAGAGAATGTGTCGATTCCAGGTTAAAGAGTGAAGTTCCTGGTGTTTTATGCAAACTGGATATCGAGAAAGCTTATGATCACGTGAATTGGAAATTTCTTCTTTATTTGCTTCGGAGAATGGGGCTCGGAGATCGATGGATAAAATGGATTGAATCTTGCATCTCATCAGTTATGTTCTTTGTGCTTGTGAATGGCTCTCCTGCTGGTTTTTTTCCGAGTTCGCGTGGTTTGAGACAAGGAGATCCTTTGTCGTCTTTTCTTTTTCTCATTGTCATGGAGGGATTGAGTAAATTAATGAAAAAGGCAGAGAATCTGGGTTACATAAGGGGGTTCACTGTTGGTAGAGATGTTGCTAACCAGATCGAGATATCCCATTTGTTGTTTGCAGATGATACCCTGGTTTTCTGTGATGCTGATGTTTCCTAGCTCAGGTATTTGAGGTGCATTCTTACATGCTTCCAAGCTGTGTCTGGTCTTAAGATTAATGTTGGAAAGAGTGTGCTTGTCCCAGTGGGGGAGGTCTCTAATATTTTCACTTTAGCTGCTATTCTTGGATGTGGAGTGGGTGCCTTTCCACTCCCTAATTTGGGCTTACCTTTGGGAATCTCCTCTAGGATAGTGGGGACTTGGGATCCGGTGATTAACAGGTATGAAAAAAGATTGGCGGGGTGGAAAAAACAGTATCTTTCGAAAGGGAGGAAGGTCACTCTTATTAAGAGCACCCTCTCGTCCCTTCCCACATATTTCTTATCTCTATTCCAGATCCCGTGCTCTGTTGCTGAAAGAATTGAAAAAATTCAGAGAGATTTTCTTTGGGGTGGAAAAGGAGAGGAGTTTAAGTATCATCTTGTTAGTTGGGAGCAGGTTTGCAAACCATTGAAGTTTGGCGGTTTAGGTATCCGGAAGTTAGTCCCTTTCAATAGAGCTTTATTGGGGAAGTGGTTATGGAGATTCGGTAAAGAACGTCATCGACAATGGAGAAGAGTTATCTCGTGTCGTTTTGGGGAAGAGAGTGGAGGTTGGTCCTCTCGTCCTGTTTCTATTACCGGGGGCGTTGGCGTTTGGAAGTTCATTCGGAAAGGTTGGGATGTGTTTTCCACCCATATTCGGTTCAAGGTTCGTAATGGTATGTATGTTAGATTTTGGGAAGACTTATGGTGTGGTGATCAGTTGTCTCTTTCTTTTCCTCGTCTCTTTAGCATTGCCGAGAATAAGCATGCTTATGTAATTGACTGTTATCATCTTGATAACAGTGGAGTTACGTGGGATGTGCGTTTTAGGCGTTCCTTCAGGATTGGGAGATAGCTGAAGTTTGCGTCTTCTTGGACCTGTTGTATATACAGAAAGATGTTGGCAGAGGTTGTGATGATATTTTGTGGACTCCCTCTCTTCATGGTAGATTTGAAGTTCGATCCATGTTCTTGTGTTTGTCTAATTTTATTGGATATGATTTCCCTTGGAAGTGTATTTGGCGCTCTAAAGCTCCTCTTAAAGTTGCCTTCTTTGTTTGGACTGCTACTTGGGGAAAAATTTTAACATTGGATAATCTGCGTAAGAGAGGTTATACCATTGTTAATTGGTGCTATTTTTGTAAAACTGATGGTGAGTCCGTGGACCATCTTCTTTTGCATTGTCCTGTTGCATCTGATTGCTGGAATCTCTTATTTAGTATTTTTGGCGTTCAGTGGGTAATGCCTAAGCACTCTTTCCAATTAATTAATACTTAGAGAAGATGCCCTGTTTCTGGTCATGCTCGTGATTTTTGGAGGGTCGCCCCACATTGTGTTTGGTGGTGTATTTGGAGAGAGTAGAATAACAGAAACTTTGAAGGGAAGGAATCGTCTTTTGCAAACCTTAAGTCTTTTATCCTACACTCTCTTTTCTGCTATGTCAGAGGCAGCACTTGCTCCTCGATCGATGACTTTTTTGTTCTATTGGACTCTGTTGGTCCATAGGTTTGGCTTTTGCTCTTTCGTTTTTGTGTATTAGGGACGCGTTCCCCTTTTGAACGTCTTTCTAATATATTTTTACTTATAAAAAAAAAACAGTAAGGGGAAAATATACTGGGCATTGCTATTGTAAGAGACTGGTTACCTTCAACAAGAGGTATATAAAAAGTAACCTCTAGGATATGTTGTTGTGAGGGGACCACAGAAATTGTGCAGGATACAATATGTTATTTATGGTCTTAGATAGTCAGTTAGAGCATGGTTTGACAATTTACTAATGTAGTTGTGGTTTGACAATATACCAATTTAGTTGTCAAACCGTGCTCCTATGGGAATATTTAAGGAGAAAATATCTCTCTTAGAGGAAGTATGTCAGCAAACTCTTATGGGAAAGCAGGCCCATGGGAGTTAAATTTATTGATTGATACTCTAATGGACGCTAATGCAAAGTTTGATAAAAGGTGAAGGTCAGTTGTTTGATGATCCAAGTAGGTATAGACGGTTAGTGGAAGATCTTATATACTTGACTATAACATAATATGTCATGTCTTTATTGTTGGAATTATCGGGCAGTTTATGCTGAACCAAGGAGTATTTGGAAGCTGTGTCCCATGTGAAATATCACAAGTTGGAGCCCATGGCAAGGGTCATCACTTGATGCAATGGTAGCAGACCATGCTGAAAGACATGAAGGCATGAATTCGAATCTGAGAGAAATCACTGTTTAAAAGAGCATTAAAGGTTAGACTTAAAAAAAAAAGGGAAGGGGAGCATTATAGGTTAGGTTTGTTTCCAGTCTTTCCTCCACACCCCATTGTAGGTAGGACATACACTAGGTAATAGCTCATGATAGGGGTTTACTATTTAGATCTTCTAGCTTCCTTGATATTGTTGGATAGTTTGAAGTAGATTTTGCAGGATATCACATGGATAGGAGGACCAGTTCCAATTAGTGTCCTTCTTCTAGTGATAACATAGTTACATGTTAGAGTAAGAAGCAAAAGGCTGTGGCAAGATCGAGTAAGAGACCAAGTACAAAGATATAATTCATACAAGAAGTAAACAAGTAAGATAAAATGAGTCAAATCGCTGCAGCAGGAAGTGAAATTTACAACTGATACACCCCCGCAGATGCTTTGTAATCATCAATCTACAACATCTACGGCTACCGATCCAGTATCTTACAAGAGGACAAAACATGTAGAAGTGGAATGTCATTTTGTTAGAGATGTGATAGGAAGAATCAAGGGTCACGATATATGTCACGTCACAAGATCAGTTGTGTGACGTGTTTACAAAGTCTTTAAGAAAACGAAGGTTCTCTGAGTTATATAAGAAGTTGGGTGTGAGATATCCCAACTTGAGGGGAAATGTTGGGAAAGAAAATAATTTTAGGAGTAACCTTTCCAACTCACAATATAAGAATATAAATAAAGAGGAACAATCCTAGTCAAGTGTTGCTCTCTCTCTCTCTCCTTCTCACTCTCTCTCATACATGCCCGTGCGCGCGCTCTCACTCTTGCACGCACTTTCTTTCTGTCAATCTGTTCTTTTCTTCTTCACATTAGTCCACCTCATCTGCTTATATTATATTTCTCAACAGGAACATCTTAAGAGGACTGCAAATTGTTTGCTTTTTTAGTACAAAACTTTCTTGTGAGAATTTGAGTTGGTGCTTTAATGTCTTTGTCAAAGTGATTGAAAATAATGTAATCAATATTTTTAAATTAACTCCCACTAAGAGGTCTTGTGTTCTAATCTTGAGGGCGCCTTCGCCCTGGACTTACCAGATACCTATGGTTTTTGGGTGATTTCAGGTATCTGAATACTAGTTCCACTTCTAAATGGTGGCGTCTGTTACAATATATATATATATATATATTATATTATAAATTAAACTTGCAAATTTTGTAAACTGAATTCATGTTGAAATCTGTGAAAAATATTAAATGCAGTGAAACATAACCGTGTTTGAAGACCTTATATAGAGGTTGATTTTGCCCCTTCAAAAGTGAAGTCCTGCTCTGCCACTGCCCTACGTCGAGATATGAAACCATAACCTGACTGGCTAATCCCCTCAAGCTAGGGTTAAAATAATTGAAAGAGAATTTTCATTTAACATTTTCCTTCGCTTTTATGTCTATCTGACAACTGTTTTGTGGGAGAATATGACACTAACAGTCAAGTACTTAAATCCTAGACTTTGAATTTGGATAAAGCACTGTTTCAATTTATGGAATATCAGCACATGATTCAGGAGCAGACGTTTCTGATTAGTTGTTATCTGATACAAGCACAAGAGAGAGCCTAAATGTAAATTAGATTGTCACAAGCCAGTATGGTTGAATAATGGTTACCTCTACAAGACTTCAATGCACTAGTAAACCCGGATTTTCTGGGCGCCAGCTGCTTGAAGATATTCATGTTAGGGGAGGCCTTTCAACAACACAATTTTGAAACCAATAGTACCCACCCCTTTCACACATTGAACACTGCAACTACAAAATGCACAATCATAACTATTTTATTGATAGGTTGATTTAAAAAAAATTACATGGCAACATCAGTGTCTTCTTAATTTTAAATAGCAAGACTAGATTATCACAAGCCAGTAAAAAAATGAAGGATACCTGAACAAAACTTCATAGCACCTCTTCGCTTCGCGGGTGCCATCTACTAAAATATATATTCATAGAAAAAAAAAAAAAAGGAAAACATATAATTAATACCGATTAGGAAGTTTTCAGTTTTCACATATCACAACAAAAATAAACAAAAAACATAAAAGTATAATTTGATAAATCAAAGACTACTAGAAACATATAGACGCTGATATTGGATTCAATTGCTTCAAATTGTACACATTGGACTAAGCATATATTTTCTTATGTTAATTTACACTCAACAGAACATCAGTGCCGTCTTAATCTTACATAGCAACATTAGCAGATTTTGTAGATCATTCTGAAATCAAGTCTTCAAATAATATTCAAAAGAAGCATCTTGAAATCTAATATTTGGGTATGACGAATCCCAAACAGACACAAAAAAAAATGCACAATGAAACTAATACTGGCACTAATCATAAATATGTTCAGTATATCCAAGATTTAAGAAGATTAACAACAAACCCAACAAAGTGTTCCTCTGTAGAGCAAGAAAATTGAACCCACTATACACGTATGTGAGTGTGTATATATATATATACAGAGAGAGAGAGTACCTTTGCGGCCGTTTAAGGTTGTAAAGTGGATGCGCGTGGATGCGCAACGGCAAGTCTGATGTTTGATTGTTCAGATGGGAAAGAGATAGGGGTCGTGGCATTTTTGTTAATTTTATATAAAATGAGTGGCAAATTAGTCAAGTACCTAAAAAGCCCCTCATCTTCTTCCTACAAGTTGGCCTTTCAGTCTTAAACCCACTGGGGGTTAAAGAAACCCCATAGCTTGGAAGAAGTTTTGGGTGCTGAGAGGACTTTGAAGCTCTGTATCTATGGCGTCTCTCAATTTCACACAGTTTCACTCATTACCCAGGTTTGTTTTATTGATATTTTACCCTCAACTTTCCTTTCTCTGAACATTTATTCTTGTATGTCATCAATATATATCACACACGATAGGATAACAAATATATATATTTATAAGAATATATATATGGATAACAAAAACCCCCAATTTGCACAGCTCATACATAGCATAGCTCTCCCTCTCTTTGCAATCTTGATGTTTGCCTAAAATGGTGGGATTCCCACCCCCCCCCCCCCCCCCCCCCCCCCTTTTTCTTGGGATGGTACAGAGAATGGCTTTACTGTGCTAATTAGGATTCAATTTGCATTCGAGAGTGCAAAAAACTATAGTGTTAACTAGAGTCAACAATTTCTGGTCAGGGAAAAAAAGAACAAACTAGACTCAACAATGGACCTTTTTTTTTGTCAACTTGTCTGCCCTGATATGCAGGTGGCACTCAAATTGGTCGTTTGCCCCATCAATAAACTTTGTGCAACTTCAAGATCCTAGATTGCAAAGATGGGGTCCTATGGCCACTTCTAAGAGAAATATTGTGGAGTCATTAGCTAAGAAGGTGATAAATGAAGAAGTGGTAGAAAAGGAAAAAAGTAGAACTTCTAAACGAGCTTCGGTACGAGGTAAGAAGAAGGCATCGCCCAAGACGACAGAGGAGAATTCTGTGTTGGCGGTGAGTGGTGATATTACGGAGGATGAAGCCACTACTCCTGCATCCAGTGGAAGTTCCAATAAAACCCGAAGAACTCGAACAAAAGGTGCACTAGTTTTCATCAAATTGCTAACTTTTTTAGTTTTGTGTCATAATATACACTTTAATGGTTAAGACCTGAATTTGATTTGCAGCTACCTTGGCTTCTCCTAGTTCGGATGAAGAAAAAATTGAGAAGAAGGTGACTAGGCAGAGGAGGACTAAGAAGAAGGTTGATAATAATGAGCGTGAAGAAAGTGAGGCAGAACTTAGTGATCGTGAGGGGGACACATTCATCACAAATGTGGAGGATGAAAATGAGGAAGACCTAGACCTTGGAAATGGTGGAGATGATATTAGCTTTACTTATTGTTGGCCACCACTTGTTTGTTGCATCGGAGCTGCTCAGCATGCATTTGTGCCCTCAGGAAGGCCAGCCAACAGACTTCTAGACTATGAAATGCATGAAAGAATGAAGGATGCATTTTGGGCCCCTGAGAAATTTGTTAGGGCTCCTGGAGGATCTGCAAGTAATGTTGCAGTTGCTCTTGCGAGCTTGGGTGGTAAAGTTGCGTTCATGGGGAAACTTGGGGATGATGACTATGGCCAGTCCTTGTTATATTATTTAAATGTGAACAATGTTCAAACCCGATCAGTTCGTATTGACAGTAAAAGAGTAACGGCAGCATCACAGATGAAAATTGGTAAAAGGGGCAGCTTGAGAATGACTTGTGTCAAACCATGTGCGGAGGATTCTTTGTCAAAGTCTGAAATCAATATTGAAGTGTTGAAGGAGGTAAGATTATATATTTTTGTGGAAAGAATTAAAGATGTTCTAGTTCTTTTTTATTAGTTGCTATTATGGTTGTTCTTTTATATAAAAATCTCTGTTACTTCTTTTATGATGCTTATTGAATGGATGCTTGATTGGTGGCAAGCAACTGCCTGCTTTCAAGACAGGCTAATATTTTTATGACTTTTAGGATGTGGGGGTAAAGAGAAAGGCAATTACCTAGTATTTATCCCCTTAATCTAGGGTTTAGGGAGGGGTGAATCTGGTATTGACCTAACCTTTACATTATTTGCATAAAGTTGTTGCCTTAGCTCTAATCATGTTCTCACACTTGACAAACCAAAATGTTTGTGATTAAACCAAGTAATGGAAGTGCCCCTTCATGTAAGAACCAAAAATGACCATAAAGATTTTTATAGCCATTGTAGGATGTACTATCATCGTGTTCCTGCGGTAGTTACTGTTAACAACTTAGAGAATCATTCATGGAAGGATAATGTGTGTTGGTTCACTTTTGTTCCATCAACTTCACTCTCTATCAATATATTTCTGAATGAATAGTTGAAAACAACAAAGATGTTGCCCCAGCTATAGTGGCTACATATTGTCTATTTAATAATTTTTAGAACTCATCTTCTTGATAATCTTCTTTGAGGTTGTTTGTTGATTCTCATCTACCTAAAATAAATGAGACTCTGGGGTTGGAACTACTTCCCTGTAAGGTAAAAGACTCAGATAAGCACCTAACAGCAGTGGTTCTAGTTCACTTATGCATGTAAAAATCACCGTGACCAGGATTGTTACCCACCATCATCAGTGTTTTTTTCCTATATAATTTATGTCGTTTTTTTCATGAGAAAAGGATTTTTATTTATTTAAAGATCATAGCCACCAATCAACAGAACCCCTGTATTTTCTGTATACTTGTTATTAACTGTTTAAAACACACGTACATCCGGTTCCTTTCTATGTACCATCATTCGATTCAATAGGAATGCCATCAAGTTAAACAATATGAAGTTTGTTGCACTTGTACTCACTTTGTATGTGCATGTTTTTGCATGGAATTTCCTTGCATTCATTGAAATTCAACAAATGGTAACTTGAACTAAACTACATGGAATCTGTTGGGCTGATTGATCACATTGCTGGCTTGTTTTGAACTTCTGACACAAGTGCTTGTGGTTTGCTCAATTTTTAAGCCGTTTGACTGGCTATATTACTGTATTAATTCTTTTGAACAACCTCATGCAGGCAAAAATGTTATACATCAGCACATCCTCCCTGCTTGACCGAAACATGAGATCCACTGCATTGCAAGTCATCAAAATTTCAAAAAAATTAGGGGGTGTTATTTTCTATGATCTTAACCTTCCATTGCCACTATGGCAGTCTTGTGAAGAAACAAAAATGTTTATACAGCAAGTGTGGAATCTTGCGGATGTTATTGAGGTTACCAAACAAGAACTTGAGTTTCTTTGTGGAATCAATCCCTCTGAGAAATTTGACACCAAAGATAATGACAGATCTAAGTTTGTCCACTATAAACCAGAAATTTTTGATCTGCTTTGGCATGAAAATCTTAAGGTTTTGTTTGTGACAAATGGAACTTCTAAGATACACTACTACACCAAGGAGCACAATGGCTTTGTTCTTGGGATGGAGGATGCACCTATTACCCCTTTCACTCGTGACATGTCAGCGTCTGGAGATGGCATTGTTGCAGGTAAAATCTTGTGAAACAACTTCTCTGATTGATACACCTTTTGTTTCTGTAAATCACCGTATAGCATAGTTCTTGTGAGGCCATATATGTGATGGAGCCCCTTGATCTTGCATGTTTGTTGAAGCCACCACATATACAGAGAGAACCTGATATTTCGTGCCTAACTGCGTAATCAAAAAAAAAAAAAAAAATTTAGTCTACATGACCATAATTCATTTCAGTGATCTCATCTTATTTCTTATAGCTAATATGGCACCATTATTTGCACTAGCATATTTTCTAAGGTATTCCATGATTCATTTTCAAATTAAGACTGATCTGAAACTTTAGAGATTTTTCATCCTCTAATCCACTGTACTTGGATTCCAACGAGCTAAATAATTAAAAGAGAAGTGGAATATAGAAAATATAAGTTGTTCAGAAAAAAACCCTCTCCTACTCCATGCTTGTATGTGTGTCTGTATAGATTGACCTTTCTATAGAGGAATGGGACCTCAACTTCTAACTAAGTAGCCTAATCCTAGATAACTAGATAAGTACTCCCCTACGTCCCAAAAAAATAATCCACATTCATAGTTTGTAACTTTTTAAGGAAACAAGCATTTAAAGTATTCACAAAATAGAAGTACAAAATTTCAAAATTAACCATCCTTTTGCACTAGGAAATACATTCACAATTAGTTGGAAAAAGGAAAATTAGAAATTTTACTAACATTTGCTATATTGACTTTCAAAGTGAACATCAATTGGAGCAATCAAAAAACCGATTCATGGGCAAAGAGATTACATACTCTCTATAAATAGTAACTCCAAAATTAACTTTACAAATTGGAGTCAGCAAGGATATAGATTTAGATTACAAATGTAATATAGATAAAAGCAGTTTCTTGGACTGACTTTCGGAACCTCATAAATCAAGTAATGTTAATCAGTCAAACTTAGGAACTGTTGCTTTTTTGCCTTGGCCATGGGTCTAAGGACCTTCCTGACCTCAAATGGCCCTCAAAAAGTACTCTTATGCATTTAGGTTGGTTATGCCTATTGATGGTGTTGCACTCCTCGAGAAGATTTTTATGGCACTAGAATTGCATCAATAAATGTTGTGGATGTACAAAAGAAGTTAGTGTGACTGATTGATAATTAGTGTATAATTTACTTGCATGCACTCATTTTCTTTTGCACACAAATTGGCTTTTCAATTTATTTATTTATTTTATATGTATTCTTATTTCTTATGATATGTAATTGAGTGGATAAATTTACATGTTATATTACCTCATTTAAAATAGGGGCCATTGCCTAGTGCAGTGGTAAAATGCTCTGGCTGTCATGCCCGAAAATGCGGATTCGAATCCCGGAGCAGCCACTTTGTGCAAAAAATGCTAAATGTTAGGTTGTAACCAGTCTGCCTCTCCCAATTAACTGGGACAACACTGGGTAATGATCCTTGAGTCTATTGCCTCATATAACATGTTTTCGTATCAAAGGATCACTTTCAGATCGTAGTTAAAACATAACTACAAGAAAGAAAAGGAAAAAGGATCCCTGGTCAAAGCATTTGCTTCGAGCACAATTTTATAACTGATTTATGGCAGTATATTATTATCAAGCTAGTGCAGAAAAGGCAACTCCTTCGACTACAGAACAGCTAGTAGATACTACAGAAACAGGTTAACAAAACTTGGAGAAAATAAGATTTTAGGGGGCTCTTAAAGCAGCTTTGAGTAGGAATCACTTCTAGCTATACAATTGACTAACATTTTAGAGAAAAATTTCCAAGTCGAGCTTGAAAAATATTTCAGTCAAAAAAGACAATGTACGAATTATGGAACATCAAATCTAAAAGCCCAACAATTACTTCCACTTTATTAAAATTTGTTTCTCATTCTACCATTATGTTTTTGACACTATTATTTCTTAAGTAAAAACTTCTACCTAAATTAAAACTAATAATTTTATGATTATTCCAAATGGTTGAAATTCTCCAAAAACTAAAAAACAAGTCATTCGGTTCTTCTCTGAGGGAAAAAGTTTCTTCCATCCTGGGTAAATCCATTGTTTAGTGCCCGTAGCATACTAGCATTTCAGTTTTTAAATTCAACATGCAAGGACATATTGTCTCAAAGCAACAATTATTGGAGTTATTACGGAATTTGTCAATTGACTATTTCGGGATTTTCCCTAGAATATCTTTTTGCTTATTTTTGTAGTTCTTTTTGTTTTTCTTTCTTGCATTTTTTTTTTCTTCTCGCCGACAATGCAACCCTGCCACTGCTGTGACACCATCTGTATATGTCCTTGCCAGTAGTTTAACTCCAACAACTCTTTTGGAGCAGTCTTTTGATATCAACCAAGATGAAGCTTGTAGGCAGTATTTTCCCTTAAAGTTCTACAGTTTTCATGCAGCTTTTTTGTTTGGGAGAAAGTTGAGAAAAACCGATTAGGAGGTCAAAATATTGCGTCAAAATTACTTTACATAGAGGCCATCATGGCATCATCAGTATTGTCTTTCTACGCATCACCTTTTTTCTTTTTTATTTTGCTAAGCTTAAATAATACTCATTGTTGTTGAATTAATTTCGCTGCTGGAGGTGACAACCTCCTCTTTTACTAGTCTTAAGTGTTCAAAGTTATGCATGCATCAATAGAGATATACATTAGTGTACTTCTTTTACATGAATCCGCATGCAGAGAGTCAATGCTAACAAAGAAATATTCACTTTTATGGTGATATGCCATCTTAATATCTCCTCTCTCTTTTGCATTCATTCTTATGTACTTATATGCATTACAGAGACATTTTCTCTGGAGATTGCAAAATTAAAATTTACTACCTAATTTAGATATGAGTTGAGCCTTCTTTCCTACTTTAGACCAAAGCCATTGTGCTAATTTTATCTTTTCCAACATCTGTTCAGCTCTCATGAGAATGTTGACAGTTCAGCCGCATCTTATAACTGACAGAGGATACTTGGAACGCACTGTCAAGTATGCCATTAATTGTGGAATCATCGATCAATGGCTGCTGGCTCGGGAACGTGGCTTCCCTCCTAAGGAAGGTATGGAAGGAAATGTGGTCCCTGATCAAGATGGCATAATGTCAATAACAGAAAGGGAGTATCGCACACTGGAGCCTGTAAGTTGACTAAGTTGGAGTTCCAGATCATATAGTTTATTGTGTTATACACCTTTGAAAGGCCGGGATTTTCTGTCCCCCGTAAAGGAAACTGAGTGATTTTCTTTTCCTGTCATTTTTTTTTTTTTGCACTGATATTGCTATTGAATGTAACTTGTTGTGTCAACAAATTTATAAGTATGGATATTATTGTATTAACATAACATGAAAATAGCAAGTTCACAAGTTCTGGTGTCAAAGGTTCTCCAGCTTGGATTACTGTCTCTATCATAAATATTGGATATTGTGTTGAGGTTGTGGAGCCTAAATGACCGTTGTTGGTTGTCTTGTGTGATTTTTTTTATTTATTTTGTTTTATGATTGTTTTCTATTCCCAACATATTGCAATCTGAACATGCATATGAAACCGCTGTACATTTTTTGGTTCAACTCATTCTAGATTGTGCAACTAGGTTGGTCATTTGCTTGACATGTACTTAATTCATATGGCTTATCATTTTATGTGGATTTCATAGACCAATATGTTTGCATCCTCTTACACTACACTTGCCATAAAATGAAATAGAAAAATACTCTAATACTCCTATTATATTCCTTTGAGCTGGCACCCTTGTATAACCCCAGTTTGAAGTTTATGCTGGTATTAGCTAACATACAGGTTCAGTGCCAAAGATTCTCTGGCTTCAGCTTCTCTTCAATGCTTGTATTAGGTAGTATTAAAAAAATTGGAGACAGTAGTGTCAAATCTTCATAGTAAACTATGAGAACTGTGTTGATCTCATCTTATGAGAGTATCATTTTCAAAACTTTTGTCCTTAAAAATGACACTTGATGCAGATCATTTTATTGAAAGTTAGGGATAAGATAGAGTAGGTGAAGCAGATAATCTTTGATTTTGCCGGAGTGGTGTCGGATTATACGGTAGCATTTGTCTTTGAAAATCAGCAGCTGATATGATGCACGCACACACGCATTTCATTGTATATATACATATATTTATATTTATTTTAAGTGTTAATCACATTGATACTTGCAGAATCTTAATTTTAAGTTATCTGTTGGTATAGTTTGATATCACCTGGAAAATGAGCTATAATAGTTTAGCATTGTAGGTAACATTTTTAATACAAACTCTTCTTGACATCATTTAACTGAACAATTCATGAGAATAAAATTGAAAGCTTGAAAAGTTTCTTGCAAAAAGGATAAATCACACTTCCCCAACCCCTACAAAAGGATGACTAACCTAACATTATATAGAAAAAAATTAATAATAATACAAGGAAGAAGAAAATAACAAATGAAAGAAGGGATTCCATAGATTTCAAATCCCCCCTCTAAATACGAACATACAATTCACCAGAACAGGGTAGACTGTAGACCTACTTGTAAAATCGAAAACTGTCAAAGTTTCGAGGCTGCTGGCCTGTCCAGAAACCACACCAGCTTCCCTTTGGTTGGCTGGACCATCCTTGCAGGCAATGATGAGCATTCCGGCCCGACGTTATTAATCGCCGAGCGCAGGGCCTCTGCTTTGCTGCTTCCCGTCACCACCACAGCCACATTGGAAGCCGAGTTGATGACAGGGAAAGTGAAAGTGATCCTCTCAGGCGGAGGCTTGGGCGAATCAGTTATAAAAGTTACCCATTCATCCTTCTCATCAAGCACCGAGTGATCAGGGAACAGTGAAGCCACATGCCCATCGGAGCCCATTCCAAGAAGGATGAGGTCGAACTTGGGACAGTCGCTGATCTCAGACACGCTTACTATGCGGGTTCTCACAAGTTGTCGGATGGCAAACTCATAGTCCTCGGCAGCTTTCTCTGCCGACACTGAATCATTGATGGAATGTACATGACTCGGAACAATGGGCACCTGTTTATAATAATCATGCAAACCGATGAGTTGCAGAGCATGGGCACCTGTTTATAAAAATAATGACTCGGAACAATGGGCACCTGTTTACAAATCATGCATAAGATTTGTGAAGAATGTAGGGTTTTACCCTCTCAGAAATGGGAAGTAAATGGCTAAAGTCTAAATTTATTATGCCAGTTAATAATCTCATTACATGAAGATTGTAACAATGAAACAGAGTACAGAGGAAGAAAAATTATGCTTAAAAGAAGAAATAACTACTAAGAGGAACCTATAAAAAAACTCAAGATTTTCTAAATTCCATGTTTCCACCAAATTTAGTCTAACATGAAAACAGACTTTATAACCCTAAATGCAAAAACTACACACACATCTTCAGACGACCTTATTTCATAATCAACAAATGGGACCAGTTAGCTACCCACCATTGTCGTATATTATTGCCTGGTACAGCCCACCCCCACCCTCTCTTCCTAAATATGTGTGTATATATATATATATATACATGCTTAACCAACTTTTAATGTTTTCTCCACCGATGTATGGTAAGCTTATCTATTCAATCATTGTTTAGAACACCACTGTTCTTTTACTTTGACATATACGGAGTAATATAAACAAAACCATACAATCTTGGATTATCAAGGATTATGGTTCAAACTCTGAGGATGATGATAAGCATCTTCTAACCGACAATACGGAAACTTGTGCTATCAAAACGTACCATTATTAAAACATCCAATACACGTATAACATATTCAATGAAGTCAAATAATCTTACAGATAATTCCATACTTCAAAAACATTCATTGTCCAAGGAAATTTGAAATAACTAGTCAAAACTATGTACTTAAAGTTTTTATAATATCTTAACAACAATTAAAAAAATAAAAATAAAAATAAAAGGACTGCAAAAATACAAGTTGTCGTACATTATTTGACTTATGAGATGGAAATTTATAGTCATACCAACATCAATTTTATAATGTTAAGAGTTTATGATCAGTAAAAGATGTAGCACGTTTTGTTGCAGAATTGAATAAGTGAAATACTACATGTATTACCAAAAATCCGCCATCATCATTAGAGTGAAATTTTTTGAGTAAAACAGAGATGCTCCTATATTATACCCAGTACCACCGGCAACATCTTAAAAATGTAACAGTCAACCATGCCACGATAATGAAAAAACTGAGAGAAAATAAGAAAAATATTCAGATAGCTCGCATGTAGGAGTTGGATTGTATAAACAGCATACCATATCAAACCACTAAAGAGGAATGAGAATGCTTCGATATGGTATACACCATATCGAACTATTAAAGAGGAATCTCAATGCTTAGATAAACCCTAAATTTCAACCCAATGATTCCTTATTACGAGTAAAGGGCCATTGCTTGGTGCACCGATAAAGTGCTCAATCTATCAAGCGTGAGAACTCCGGTTCCAACTTGAGAGCAGTTATTTTGTTTAAATAACGCCAATGTTTAGGTCTATATCAAGTCCTCCCTTCTCAACATCCTCCACTAACAGGGAGAAAAATGAGTAATGACCCTTATTCAACTTCTTTAGCACGGTAAAAATTCTCATATAAATGAAAAGAAATTCAAATGCATACCTCTTTTAAGATCTACAGAAATGAAGATTAGGTTAATACCTTGGACAAAAGTCCCTCCTTTGCCAGCTTATAATTGCTATCAGAATGATTTCTTGCCACGACACGCTCATCAGCCCAGAATATGTACCATTTGGCCCAGTCAACAGTTTTGTTATATGGAGCTTCACAAAGTTTTCTGCACTCCACCATAAAAATTCCAAACAAGTTTACGAAACCATGAAAAAGGGAAAACGAAAGCAAATAAAAAATCTCAAGAGAAGAAGGAATTGATACCCCATCAAGCGAATGAGAGAACCACCGGACAGAGCAATGGCAAAAACACCGCGCTCTTTCACCGACACCTCTGATAATTCTGCAATATAGTCCGCTAAATCGGTGCTTAACTCGTCCGAATTTTCATGTATCCTCAACTCCCCTCTATCTTTATGAGCTCCGGAAACATCCATACTTGTGACAAGGGTAATTTGCAAGACAGCTCCATTTTAGAAACAACACCAAAAAGGACCAAATCTTAGTTTTTTAGAATTACAACACAAATGCAATATCAACTACAGAAATTAAATGGGTTTTTTAGTTTAGTAACACACTGTCTTTTATTTATTTATTATTTATTTATTTTATATAATTTTGATAAGAAAAACAACCCAATGTCTCTTCAACATTACAGATTAACTAGAACATTAACATATACATATATCATTCACTGAGAGATTCCATTCTGAATACATATAACAATAGAATTGTTCTTCACTACAGCAGTCGAAGATTCAATAAATAAAATCATAAAAAATAAAAATGAAAAAATAAATAATAATAATAATAAAAATCTCAGCATAAATAGAGTTCAGATTAATAACAATCCAACTGAAGGGAATGGCAGTAATTAACTAGAGATTGAGGCAAAAAAAAAACTGGAATTGAATCAAAATATCAAACAAATGGAATATAGTCAATATACTGCAAATACAGACAAACCCCATATTAATTAAAACACTATCAATTACATCCCATTACAGCAACAAACAAATAATTCAAGATTGATCTATTGAAATCCAAGATTCCATAAAATTCAACCGATACCAGAATCTATATATATACAGAGAGACGCATATATAGAATGAAAAACAAAAACAAAATGCTTACAAGGAAGACGAAAAGGAATATAGGCAAGTTGCAGAGGAGGAAGAAACTGACGCAAGCGGAAGGTGGGTCTCAACAAATTGTATTATATACACATATGTGTGTGTGTGTGTGTGCGTATATATAATTATATATATGTATGAGTCTAATCTATACCATTTCAGTGATAATAATAGGAGTTACCAAGATGAAGAGAAGAATTTACCTTCCACGTGCATCCAATGATTGAGACAAAAACGCACAGAAAAATCCGTCTGTCTCTATCTTTACAAAGTAAATGGATAAAAATATAAAATGAAGGAGAGAAGCAAAAGTAAAATAAAACACCCCCATCTCTCTCTCCTCTTTTTTTCTAATACAGAAGGGGGAAAAAATTCTCTCTTCTAGATCCTCTGCTATCATATCGGAAGTTCTAGAATTCATGAACAAGTAGAAAAGCCTCTACACTCCAAAATATATTATTGATAAAAATAAATAAATAAATAATAATGGAAATGAAACTTATTAAAAAAGATTATTTGGTCAATAGTTTCTCGGAACTCAATTAAAAAAAGGAGTTACTTTCGTAGAATTGTCTTATAATTTATAATTTTTATATTTTAAAAAAAAATTAAACAGACTTATAATCGTTGTTCATTTTATTGTGTAACTGTACTGTGTGAATGTATTTCTTAACTTATAAAAATAATTTTAGTGAAGGATTTTTGTCATGAGGGGACCCGCGATTGAAAAACAAGTTTAGGTTGGTAATAAATTTTGTTTTTTGTGACTAAAATTAGGCACGAGCCAGCATGTGCTAGCGATGGGCGGTGCTGAAATTTTTGCAAATGACTACTCTTAAATTTTTTTTATTTAATTTCTAATTTAAATTTTAAAAAAAATTATAAAATAATCAAAAACAAAAATATTAAAAAAAATTTAAATTGAAAACCCAATTGTTATTTTATTTTAGTTAAAAAAAATTAAATTTAGTAGAATAACTTTTACTTTGACGAATTTTAAATTGGGAACTCAATTGAAATAGTAGAAGAATTTTAAATTAGAAACCCAATTAGTATTTTTGTTTTAGTTAAAATTAAAATTAGTAGAAGAAATTTTTCATTGACAAATTTTAAATTGGAAATTCAATTGATTTAGTAGAATAATTTTAAATTGAAATCCAATTTGTATTTTATGCTATATAAAATTAAAATTAGAATAAGGTTGTATTCGGTTTTATGGAATTGAAACTTTAGAATTAGAATTTGTGGAATTGAAAAAAAATAACTCACAAAATTGAATCAAAATTTAATCTAATTCCACTAATTCTAATTCCAAGGCTCTAATTCCATATAGCCAAAAGATTTTTACATAAACGAATTTTAAATTGGAAACCCAATTAAATTAGTAGAAGGATTTTAAATTGGAAACCCAATTGATTTTTTTTTTAGTTGAAATTTAAATTAAAATTATTTGAAGATTTTTAATACAACTCAATGATTTGAAACACCTTTTACTATAAATGTTTGATTTTATGAAATTTTACAAAATATCTTCAAAAAATTTTAATCGATTCTCCAACTTCTTTTTGTTTTTTTGCTTTATTTTATTTATTTATTTATTTATTTTGACATTTCTTTGATTTTCTTCAAAAAGATTTTGCATTCCTTCCTTCAATAAAACTCTATTTTTTTTTTCCCTTCAAAATTCTCATTTTTTTTTTTTTTTGTTTGTTTGTTTTTCTCCTTCTTCCTCCTTCCTGAATTTTTCCTTTGGGGGGAAAGAGGTGATATCGTTGGGCCCGTTGGTCCTTTGGTATTATGCTCTGGATATTGATTGTGCACCGTTAGCACTTCTATTTTTTGACTTTTTGACTTGCTACATCTTTAATTGAAAAAATAAAATTATTTTATCATGTTAATTTTGCCTAAATGAATTTCTAAATCCTACTAAAAGTTTACATTTGATTAGTACAATCAATATTTAATTTGCATAAAATAGAACTTGTACATAACCATCTAAGGAATTAAAAAAAAAAAAAAAAAAAAAAAATAGTCATATGTCAAATGACGTGGCAAGGTGTGGATAATGACGTGGACCACATATTTGCTTGCTTAGATGCCACATGGCACTAGTACACATGCAGGATTACACGTGATATTGATGTGGATAATGACATGGCACAATGTGGCAGATGATACAACATCAGTGTAGCGTTGACATGGAGTGGAATGACAAATGCCCAACTATCAATCCAATCCTAATTTATTACCAAAATTTTTAACCTCATTTTTATTATTTTTTTTAGAAATTTCTCCACTATATATAAAAAGTTTAATTATTCATGCACTTTAATATATATATATATATATATATTAAGAAAAGGAAAACACTCACACTATTGCTACTAACATAATTGAATATTCAATTTTCGATCATACCGTTTAGCGTTCGTTTGGGGTTACTAATGGAATAAAAAAATTGTTTTTACCAATACGAATGTCAAAAAAATATGGTCACAAAAAAGACTGTTAGGTGTTTGGTTATCCATTATAACATGTACTTTTCATAATTAAATTATTGTGTAACTATTTTTAAAAATATTTTATTGTTAAATTTACAATAATATCCTTCAATAGATGGTAAGATATTTAATAATATCAACTTTATTAAGGAATAAATGTAATTGTCTTTATAAAAAACAAAAAAACAAAGGGCATAACTGATAAACGAAAAATAGTTACCTAAAATATTCAACTTTTACTCGTAACACAACTTTAAAAGTTACTAATTCTTCATTCAAACACTCTACTGAACTAAATTTTGTATTAATTAAAAGCGCTTTTAATGACTATTAAACACATCTAAACACAAATTTTTAAAATAAAAAAGAAGCAATTTCAAAGGGCTCTTACACTATGTCTCGCACTATTTAAGTTAGGAGTGTGGTTTGAAAGCTATACCCCAAGGACTTACCTCCCAAATCCCTACCAACACCGCTATATCCCTGAAAAAATTATTATTTGCACACTCCATTCAATTCATTTACTAAGGGCCCGTTTGGCAACCATAGTTGCTTTGTGCTTTTGGTTTGACCCGAATTGGAACCAATGTTTCTTATTTTAGAGTGTGTTCAAATTTAGAAACTTATTTGGTAACGTAAATTTGTTACAAGATTTTTAGAAACAAAAATATAAAAGCATGTTTGGTAAAAAGTGTTGAAAGTTTGAAATTTTAAATGATTAGTTAAAACTGTTATTTTATATATATATATATATATATATATATATATATATATATATATTTGAACAGTGCTTTGCTACAGTGGAAGTAAATAAAAGCATCATTTTGATACTTTTAATTTTGGTCTAAATTTTGAAAGCGCTTCGGTACTATTCAAAGGTACAATAAATATTACCAAAAATATTTTGTAATTTTACTTCGTTATACTGCATTAACAAAAATAAAAAATACAAAACAAAAGCACTAGCCAATCATTTCCTAATCAAAATACTCGGTTAGACAAAGGTAATAATCTGCATATGCTTTATATTTTAATTTTGCCACATGTAAGATGTGACTTCCAAAATCGTATTTACTCCATGTAAACATTTTAATCACATGTGTTTTTTTTATTTTATTTTATTTTATTTTTAGTTCAAAGGCATTTAGAACGTGGGAGGCAGCCATTGCCATTTTCTTTTAGGACCCACTAAATGTTAAAACCCTTTTCGTATTGGAATTCTTCTCTCTTTTATGCGTTCATCGTTCCACCTAATACAGCTAATTTAACTAGAACAAGTGTGTTCTTTTTTTTTTTTTTTTTTTTTTTTTAATCTTTTTTTTCTCTTCTAATTCAATATTAAAAAAAAATTTAGTGATTAAGTATTTGTAGGAGTTTATATGGTTCGATATAGACCAATTTAAGATTATTTTGGAACCAAACTAATTCTAACGAATTCATAAAATTTGAAACCAAACCGAACCATTTGACCAAATGAATCAAACCAAATCAAATCATAAAAAACCGGATTAGTTCGGTTCGGTTTCACGATATATATATATATATATTTCCTTTCTTGTTACAAAAGTGTTCATATTTCAAAATCCACATGCACAATTATAAACCAAGTTACCAACATATTCACAACTATTAATATATTCAGAATTTTTAATTCATTAATCTTTAACACTTCTGAAACTGAAATGAATAAATTCCAAAATTTTAATAACCTAATACATTTATAATTATTAAGTGAACAATAAATAATCAGACACAATTCAAAGTTCAGCCACTAAAAAATGTAAAAATATCATATAATAAATTAATAAGACTTAAGAAAATTAAGAGTGGACCATAGAATTTATAGTTGTTACAAACATCTAACTAATTTGAATTGTAGGATTATATTATATTATATTATATATACCCTATAATTTAACATATATATAAAAATAAATAAACACACATATCTATATAAAATATAACTGTTCGATTCGGTCTAATTCGATCTTAAAGGACCAATGATTTTACAAATTTAGAATAGTGACCAAACCAACATATCCGATTTGATCGAATTTTCAATTTGAACGAATTTTTGTGCAATTCGGAAGGATGAGGAGTATGGATTCCATCGCGTCAATGAAAGGCCCGTGCCTGATACAACCAGACATATTAATTTTGTCCGATCATATAGAAATAGGACTCCTATAAGCACTCTAACAAAATAATTGAATATGAGAGATATAAAACTTGTTGATTTATTGCTACATTACAAGATATTTAATTTCATCACATGAACCTCAATTTTGTGGTCCTAGGTTGGGCGGTGGTCGATGTTTTTGGTACGTCTAAATTATGTGATGTCATCACCTTTTAGATGCCAACAAACTATGTAGCTACTATGCTTTAATGGCTAATGGATATAGACACATCCCAATAAAAAGGAACTCTATAATGCGACACAAGTACGGATGAAATGTCCTTTTCAAAATAATGGGTTGGACACCCAATTAGGTTTTTTCTGTCAACCAGTTATCAATGAAACAAAAGATATGTCTAGATCACATTATGGGAATTGAAATGTCACACACCACTTGTTTGTTAGTGCCCCTAACCTGTTCCATAGATGGACTTGCCAAATATGGACATGTTGCCTACTTTTCTTTGATTGATATATATATATATATATATATATATATATATATATATATATATATATATATTTGTTTCATATTGAATTATTTGTAAGAATTTTTGTTTATTTTTATTTTTATTTTTATTTTTTTATAAATGGTTTATTCAGAATTGAATCTAATTCTAATTGAAAAGGTCAAAATTTTCAGGATGGGTAAAAAGTCAACTTATCAGGTAGAGTTAGCCCCTAAACCAAAATTGTTCTACTAATTCTTTTGTTTTAGTTCTTAGTGATGAAATAGAAAGAAAAAAAACATTCCATTTTGTGGTCTCATATCCAAGTTGCATCAATCAAGAAGGAAAATCTGCTGAACAAATCAAATATTACTTCTCAATGAATATTAGTGCTAGTCTTGACTTAAGTCCGGCGAAGCCTGAACAAATGTAGATGCGAGAACGGAAGTGTAAAAACAACAAAATTTAAAATTTATTTAGAATAGACATGTCTCCGTAACGTTGTACGTTAGTACGCAATTCACTAAAAAATGAATAATCATATTTTTAATTTTAAAGAAAAGTAACCTTAGAATTTTTTTTTTAAGCATCTTTTTATGTATTTCATTGATTTCAGAGAGCTTGAATCGGATGGTGAATTTATATATTCACAATCTGAGATCGGATTATTTATTTGAATCTTAGAAAAATGGTCATTATATCCTCTCAATGCTAAATAAAAATATATATATGCCATACATTTCAATGGTCCAAGTTTGTAAGCAAAAAGAGAAAGAAGAAGATTATGCGTTTCATTGATCTCACGAATTACTGAGTGTACCTCAAATTTATATATAAAGAGATGCTACATCAAAGCAAGTAGTAAAATTTACGAATCTCATACCAATTTACTAACAAAGAAAGTAGTAAAATAAACTAAAAAAAATATAAACTATGTTTTTTTTAAAAATAAAATAAAAAATACTACGTTTTACTAGACCATGAGTTGGGCAGTCTCTGCAGAGCAACTGCATCAAGACTCCAGCTGAAAATCATCACTAAGAGTCAAAAAATGGAACAATCTCTACTTGCATAACTCCTCCACTAATTCCATCAAAAACGAAGTCATCAGCAGATCGATAAATCTTTGTAAAAATGCATCCACTTCTAAGAGGAGCTGATTGACACATCTGCACTTCACATGTATACTTTCCAGCAGAAATGTACCCCAAAAAAAAAAAAAAAAAAGGAAAAAGCATTCTGTACCTTAAAGAACAGAGTATTCTTGGCAGCATACGACCCACTAAATGAAAGTTACCAAATTAACCAGTTTAAATATGACCCGGAGCTCAGCCAGCATACAGTTGCAGAACCCTGTCCGGGAGTTGAACTTCATGCACCATAAATGCCACCCCATGACGAAGCTTACTAGCTTTAGGAGAGTCAAGACTCCAAAATAACTCTTAAGGAGAGACCTGGTTGCACACATGCATGCATCCTGGTGTGTGCCAAAACACAAAATGCATCACAGTACAGAGGTATCTCCATCAATTTTCTAAAGGTAGAAAACAAACGGGTAACTGTAGATAAACAAAAAGGAGGAAGCGAATCTGGCTTACGATTGGTCAAATTATTAAATAGTTAGATCAAATTTATCAAGTAATGTTCTCTTGCTCACCGGTGAGCAAGAAACTCTCTCCGTACCAAGCATGGTGATAGTTGGATATGATTTTAAGTGTAAAAAAGGTAATTACCAAAAAAAAAAAAAAAAAAAACATAACAACCATATTCAACAATCACCATGCTTGGTGTGGATAAATTTATTGCACACCGATGAGGAGATCGTTTTTGTGGATTTATCTTAGTATAAGAGATTCTCAACCTAAAACCACACCCTTACTGGGGGCCTTATGAGCAGATAATCACTGGGGTTTGCAATCATTCATACAGAATGAGAGTGATGTGATATGGAGCAAAAACACTAACTAAAATTTGGCATTAGCACACAAATATCCTGTGTAGAAACTAAATCATTGAGCTAGAAAATCAATTATGATGCCTCGAAAATTGTGGAAGGTTGGTTGAAGTTGAGGGCTTTCCAAGAGAAGAGGAAGTAAGAAAAAGAATGAATAGAAGAGTAAGATTTTTCATGCTCCACAAGTAGTCACAATTTCTAACAGAATGGAGACAGAACTACCTTTGCCATTCATCATAAGATCCATAACCCATAAAATAGTTAAGACACTCTTAAAGGTAAAGAAATGAAAATTGAAGAAGAAACAAAATTTTACACCATTGATGACCTAAAAACAAACCAGTCTGTACAGACCAGAAGTAAAGCTATTTCACAATCGAAGTAGGATGCAGAAGTTATCTCTTTGAAACCAGATCAAAATGTCACTTAAATAATCATTCATACCCAAAATTTCACTTAAATACTCCGTACCTTTAAGGTTCTGCATGACCATTTTGCATCATACATTGCAACTAATCAAGGTACAGAGTTACTTTTTTAAACATTGCATATGGCAGCTTTAATCTCCAATCTCTCAGTTTCCGGCTTAATGGTCTTCCTTTTGAAGAAGGGCCTCTATTTTCCTTTACGTCTGCCAGCCTCCACACACAGCTGCCTGATTCTGTTTCAACTGAATCCAGGAAAAAGACACTATTCTTTTCTTGACATCTATTTTGTAAATCTTCTACGTAACTTACCCACATAGGCATGTCTTTAAACCGATCCAAGTCATCTGGTACTTTTAGCAGCCGCTCTGCACCTGGAGAAGAAACCTTCAAAAAATGAAAGAGAATGTTTTGTTTAACATCTGAGCTCTTTCGCCTCCTGGAAAATTTCAATTCTATAATAATTAAAATTATTAAATAGTTAAATTTCGCAACGCTGAAGAGAAAATGAGATCCATAAGTAGGTATTTACTTCAAGAGCCAAATCATCAGGTATTTCTCCCGCGGCACCTAATTCCTCTAACCTTTTCTTGTATTGGCGGCTGTAATCTTCAATCTCTTCCATGCTGGGGCACCCATATCTAATGAAAACAGACCATTGTCAGGAAGAAAAACAAAATGAACCTTGGGAAACCAAGTTCAAATAGCATCTAATATTATAACCATGACACTAGCACAGGAGAATATTTTATACTTTCATATAGCCATTATCAAAATATAAATCATTGTTATGGCAATTTATAACAGATTAAACAGCGTGGGAACACAAGAAAAAGATAATAATATCAATTGAATTCCAAAATAAAATCACTCTTTCTTCATATTTACCACAAAAAGCCTTTATAATACAACACACCTTCCTAATATCATATAAAAAATCACACGTTCCAGTCAACATCACTAAAAATAATTGTTATTGTTCTTATTAATGGATCAAGCGAAGAAAAATCATTATTAGATGATTTTCACCATTTGATATTGCTCAATTGTCAATGTCCCTAAAGGTGTTCTATTGCCCCATAATTTTGATTAATTTAAATGGTTAACATCATATACTTTGATGACTTTACAGAGGTAAGTTGTGAAATATACCAACCAAAACAAAAATCCACAAATAGGTCTCATCAGATCACGGCCCTAACCACTTCATGACTTCTATTGATTGTGAGGAAGCATTAGAGTGACATAGGATGAAGAGAAAAGAAGTCAGGGAAGCCATTGAAAGGATTTAGAAGTTGATATGTGGGTTTTGAAGCATAGAAGTAGGTAAAGTATCCGTGCACACACAATACTCAAACATGAGTATAGGATATGTGTTCGACACTTCTGGTAACATGCACCTTAAAAACATATTCAATGATTCAATTTTAGCATAATAGTGCTTCAAAACAAGTGAAATACCCATTTAAAAACTATGTAATATAAAGAAATTATTTTACTTTACACAAATAAAATAGAAATGTTAGATTACATAAATAATTAGCAGTGTTTATGTGTCCTATTTAGGAATTTGATATATTTGACACTTGAATACACACTCGTATCCCAAGTCCAAGTAACATAAGTTTGCTGTAATGGTGTGTAATGAGGTTTTCCTCAAGGTATAACAAAGATATAGGACTATATGGAAACCGAAACAAGCCCAAAGGAGAAAGACAAGCATGGAAGTCAAAAGGGTTTTTTGATGGGTCCTCGAGGATAGGATAGGATATCTGAAGGAATATGACCATCATGAGTGTTAGGTGTGGGAATTAGTAATGAATGGGAGTGATTAAATGCATTGAGCATTGATTTAATGTAGTAGATTGAGCATTTCATACAATAAGACAATATTGATTTAAAGTAGGAACCAAGTTGACGTCACATGGAGTTGCAAGCAAGTTATTTCTCAAGCTCAACATAATAGTGAGAAATAATCAATTTCTCTTCCTTTAGGCATGGTTAAATTTCATATGTGCCAGAAGTAAAGGCTTTATCAACGAACCTTAAATTTCAATTACCAAACCAATTACCCTTCAAATCCCATGGAGTGTTTTTTAATGGTTTATGAGGTAAGACATATGGTAGGTAAAAACTATGTGGATCTTGAGTCATGCTCCCAACACAGTAACTTTTAAGATATGCCAAAGTACTTCACAAGTTTGTCTTCAGTATCTCTTCAACTTATCTGTAGACAGGAGATCCTGGAGAATCTTCAATGTCTCTTCAAGACTTATCCATTGAATGGAGGTACCTGAGAGTGTCCAATCATTTTCAAAATCTGTCCATAGATAGTAGGTATTTGAGACAATTCAACATCTTTCTGAGACTTATATAGAGAGGAGATTCTTGAGAATGAACAATATCCACAAAACCATGGCTTATTGTTTCATGCCTGTGGTGAAGGCAATGAGGTTTATCTACATAAAGGACTTCCTCATGGCAAGACATGCCGAGAGAAGACTCATCCATTAGATACGAGGTTCTTACTATATAAATGTCATCTACAAGACATGATTAGAAACTAAGTACAATTACGAGGTTTCATGAGTCAAAGCAGAAGAGGGCCTTAAATGGCCTTTTACATACCCTTCTAGTATTACTGGTGCAACTGTGCTCAACTAAAAATTTAGGCATGGTGCTACAAAAGAAATTTATAGCTATACGTGCCACGTAAGATCATCTTCCTCATTGCTGTGTGTAATGTGGGGTCATGTATACTCATTGTCTATAAAAGGATGGCAATTTTGACACTCACTGTCTTCTTTTGAAACTAGGCCCAGAGTTGGATGAATTGGGGGCAATTTTGAGAAAGTTGGAAACCACAAGGAAGGAAACCTCGAGAGAAAAAGCGATAGTTACTTTTTTTATTTTAAAAATTGTATATTTTGTGGAAACTCATTACTCAACTCAAGTCAATAAAATCTTTTCCCAACATTTAACTTTATATGTGGTGAATATTGAAAAATGTAAGGCTACAATGCAACAACAAAAAAAGTTGCATGGCTGAAGAACAGATTACTTGTTTGGCAGTTTGTCTAGTCTCACATAAATATATCCTCGAGGAGTAGTTTTGAAAGAATACAGCTTCATGTCATCACCAAACTGCAGCAGGACCTCATGGGCTATGGAAAGAGCATGTTCGCCCCAAGGGCAATTTTGCAGCACAACCCCACCTCCATCCCCTCCATCACCAATCTAAACATTAAAGCAACTAACATTAACTAAAATCCATGCTGATAACTAGATGGATGTTCAGCAGTAAGAATATTCAAATGATAATAAAATAAAAAATAAAAAAGAAGCATGCCTCGGGTTCAGCTTCATCCTCTTCCTCCCACGAATCAATGGGTTCTACCTCTCCATCCACTTCATCTGCATATTTAAACACATTCAGGCAGAGAAATCATCCATCAAACAAATACATGGAGGCCCTTATGTATGAAGATTGCTACAACAGTGCTGATGCTAAATTACATCCACGGAGTGACATGAAGATCAATTTTCAGAATTTAATATCAAATGACAGCAAACACCCTTTTCATTTAGTCTTCATAATCCAAGACAAATAATAAGAGGAAATAAGAAAATTAAACTATACCGAGAGAGTGCAATTAAATACTATTTGGTCCTTCACATTATGTTTTCAATATAAAAATTTAGCATGAACTGCGTGCATGACTTCATATAAGCATATAGACAAGAAACTATATATCTCTCTTATCAACTGATTAAAAAAAAAAAAACAGAAGGGTTTCTTGAAACTAAATAAATGAACAAATTAATAAAACTAAATTTAACCAAACCCAGATACTCTTTATTTGACACTTTAAAAGTAGTTCTCTAATTCTTGCAGTTGAGAGGAAAATTGAAAACAATTTTCAACTTGAAAAGGCAAAAGAAATCTTTTGAAGTGTTATCCAACAGTGAACATAATATATATATTTTTTAGTTCTTTCTAAAATTGGATATAAATTAACTTAGTAGAACATTTAATCAAACAACTGGTGTACACATGTCGAGTGGACAACTCATAATATGTTTTTCAGGGTAAGTTCCGAGTATCCCCAAAACCATTCACATATGAACTAATTAATCAAAACAAGGTAAGCACAATTAAATCATGAACACCAACTAAAAAAAAAACAGAGATCCACGAATATTTGGTTGAAAAGAAGCACAGTGCTTACAGAGACGTTGGTTTTTATTTGCAGACGAACTGGTGCTTAAATACCGAAAATTTGAGGAAGAAGCAAAAACGGAGGTGGGTTTTGAAGGAAAAGAAACCCAATCACGATGATGAAACGAAGAAGAAAAAGGAAATGAGTTAGGTTCCTGCAGGTATGGTGGTTGTGTTGGAAGACGATAATGGGTTGAGAAAGCAACCCTTATTGCGGATAAAGGTGAAGAAGAGAAGAGAGAACTCCGAACAGTATACAACAACAAACAGTGAATCCTACTGCCACCGCCGAACATCTTTGACGGTGACTAGTTTGCCCCTTCGTCCTTGCTAGTTTGTTTGATTTTTTGTTGCGAGATTTTCCCCAAACTTCAATATTTCTTGGATAAATTTAACACTTATACCCCTGAAATTTGAGTTTATTACACACATCGGTTAAGTTTGAACTTTATTACAATGGCTCCCTATCCAGGTCAGTTTGCTTACCGCTTTAAAAATTCTCATCAAATGTCATATTTGCCATTTCATTTTTAAATAAATTATACTAACCTCCTTTAAAATTCAAGCTTAATTTCACACGAAGTCAAACTTGTAAATTACACTAACCTCCTATATTTTTGTTCTAATTACAAACAACATAATATATATATATATATATATATATATATATATATATATATGTTTTTTCCAGCTTGCACGATCACAAAATTTCGTCCATACTAGTGAAGGGAATGGTGTTGGAACATGTTTCAAAGTTATATACACTTTACTTATCACCTTTCTCGGTGGGTTACAAAATCAAATGAAAATAATTGTTAGATTACATGATTAAATATAGGATTAAGTGTCAAAAAAAATTAACGCTATACAAACTATGTGCAAGAAACATTCTTATGAGAAGGAAAAAAAAAATGCAACTATATTATCTATTTTATGAGTAAATTGTCCCCTACTTATCAATTTTGACCAAATTTTTTTATTAAAATTCCCAAAGCCCTAGTGATGTAAGAATTTTTTTCCCTCTATATTCTCTCTCTTCAAATCCTGTCTTCTCCCTCTACAATAACATCACCATCCAAACTCTCCAACTCAATCTGTTCATCTAAGAATTCAATCTCCTTGTGATAATCATTCCAACTTCGGATTCCGAGATAATCAAGAACCCACTTGATCATACCCGGGAATTTGTTCTCGAATTGATTCAACATCAAAATCACTCTCTTCGTGGCACTTTCATCATCGTATGGGTCGAGCTCAATTTTGGCCTGATTGCTTCGCCAACAATTCGACCAATTCTCTGATTTCACACTACACATCGATCGAACTCGGAGGAAGAACATCGAGCATTGTCGCTACAATTCTAATCAAAACCCGGAATTGTATGTTGCGACGAAATGGGAATTCATCAAAATCCAGAGTCGAGACCCATCATCCTTGCACGCCGGCTCCTTCACTTTTACCATCCTTGCGTTCTGGTAAGCTCAGTCCGTCGCTGGCCTTGTCATAGTTCTTGCATGCCGTTTCGTTCTCTGTCCTCGCTGTTCAGACTCTCACTTGCTCGCCGTGCAGTCCTCTGTAATCGCGGACCATATCCTCGCCGGTAAGTGCAGTTCATTCTCACTTGCTCGTCGTTGGAATACTTGCTCGTTGTCAAAACATCCCTGCTCGCTGGTTCGTTGCGTTGCCGAGCAGTCCTCTTTGGTTCAATTCTGCATTATTCATCTGGGACACTGCACCGTATATAGGGTAAAGTGCAATAAACCGCCGTATACTTTACTCTCTCTCCCAAGAAACTCCCCAAACTATTTTTTTAACAGAAAACTCCCTATACTATCCAAATTTTTCCAAAAACAACCAGATGACACTATTCCGTTAGTTTTTTTACCGTAAAGTAGTCACCTGACCTATGCTATAAATTAAAAATGACAAACCTACCCTTTCTAATCGGCCCAAATCGAACCATCAACGCCCAACTCCACTCTCTCTCCATGCTCTGCAAATTGCAATCTCTTTCCATGCTCTGCAACTTTTCAACAATCACAGACGAAACTCACCACTCCCTCTCTCTCTATTCACTTTCCTTATATTTAATCAACTTAATTTCCAAATAGTACCTCATAAGCCAAACATCAAAATATCAAAGCCAAATAAGTATTTGAATCTCTGTTTCTGCGACTGATTTTTAGATAGAGTGAGTAATCCCGAAACCCAGGTAAGCTATGAATATATCTAGAAGAGATTACAAACAGTATGCAAAACACATGAATTTCAATTACATTTGTATTTGATTTGGTTTTGGGTTCTTAGGGACCAAGGTAAATAATCCATACAGTGCTGGTTGGTGGTCGGCGGTGATGGGGGTGGTGGTGACGCCACCGCCTGCTGATAAGCGCCGAATATTATATATTCAAGCGCCCTAAATTGCATTAGTAAAGTCCGTTGTATGTTAATTTATGTAGATTATCTTCATTTCTATGTTTTTATGCATTTTCAGGTTCATTGGCCAAAATGGAACAAGAATAAGGCCTTGTGGAATCTTGAGCAACAAAAGGTGCCAATGCTGAATTCTGGCAGCAGTAGAACCTGGACTTTGCTTGCCATTTTGACCTTCCAAACTCGAGAACTGGACTTCCATCATAACATGAAAGATTTAGAGCTCTGAATTATCTTTCTAAATCTTTAAACGGTTTGTCATTCGGAGCTCGGAGCAGAGAGTTATGGCCTTGTTACCAAAGGTGCGCAGAACTGCCTGGCAGCAATGAAATTCTGCCTTGATCTTCATTTTCGACCAACCATCCTTGAGAATTGGATCTCTACTAAAACATGAAATATTTAGAGCTCTGAATTAGCTTTCTAAATCTTCAAACGGTTCATCATTCGGAGTTCGGAGCGCAAAGTTATGGCTGTTTAACCAAAGTAGGTCTGGGCGGAGCAAGTGAAGCATGGGCATTTTTACACTAAATTCGAGTGCTCGAGGCCTTGCTTAGAGTGCTCGAATTTTGGGCAGAATGCCCTTCGGAAATGGCTCATTTCAGCCCACTTGCACCTTGGTTTCTTCATTTTGCTTTCCTCTTTAATGAAGTGGTTGGAGATGTTGGTTGGTGGCCTTTTGGTGGTAGATAAGAGGGATATGAGCCACACAATAGGGAGAGCTTCAATCTACAAGATTAGAGGAGAGAGAAGAGAGCAAAGAGAGGAGAGTTCTTGGAGCAAGAAAGGGGAGCTCGAAAATGGAAGGAGGATCCATGGTTCTTCTTCATTCTAAGGCTCCTATGTGTACTAACTCCTCCTCTAGGGAGGTAATGGAACCCCTCATTGTAAGCATGCTTTATTTTTGATTCTAGTTTGGGAAAAATAATGTATTTTTGTGGTGATTCCATAATCTAGAACTCTTACTTGATGTAATGGATTGATTTTGATTTAATGATCATGTTGGACCTACTTTCTTGTCTTAGAATGTATGTTTTCATGGTTGTATGGTTTACATTTTCATGGTGACAATGAAGATGAGATTTTTGGAATGGTTTTAATGGCATGTTGTTGAGAGATTTGATAGGCCATAGCTTAGGTTCTTCCTTTGATGGCTTATTCTTAATTCTTAGCTTCATGTGCTCTTATCATGTGATTGATGGTTTGACAATTTCTAGCTTAGTGAACATGTCTTAAATTACACTTTAGTTTAGGTAATTGAGCATGTAAAATCTTTGATAAATTGTTCTTGCCAATTGATTCCATGAATCCTTTGAAGGTAATGTAGTAACCATGAGTAACTACTTATCATAGCCACATATTTATGTTGTTTTTCCCCGAATGAATCATATTCTAGCATGTTTATATTGTAGGTGGTGAAGTTACTTCCCTAGTCTCTTTTACCGACATTTTATCTCTTTTAAATTCTTGCAAGTTTTATTTTATGCATCTTAATTTCATAGCTTTAGTGACAAACCAAGCAAACACCCTATTCCCCCTTATCATTCTAAAACGATTCTAGACGCTTAGGTTGCCTTAAACTAGCGCAGTCCCAGTGGTTCGACTTACCCGACCAATAGCCCTATTTTACAATGATTCGTGCTATTGCGAAGGTTGATGTATAGTTGATCAACCGATCAATTTTTGGCGCCGTTGCCGGGGACTGCAAACGGTTTAGCAACCAAAGTTCTAGGGTTAAATTTAGTTTGATTGTGCATATTGTGTTTTGTGAATATTTCTTGTGTGGTTTAACCATTTTTGTGTTGTAAGTGAGATTCTAGGAACTCGAAGCTCGCCGTGGGAAAGGTAGCAAATTGTAAGTCTAGAGGACCCCAGGTAAGTCTCGTGACTTCTAGTTTCAAATTGTGAATATCCTGCATGTGTTAAGCTTAGAAGTAGATAAATTGCAAGCCCTTGTCGAGGCTTTTTCAATTGTGTATTTTCAATTCCAAGCATCGGTCCTTGTCGTGGCCATTTATTTTCTGTCTTGATAATTGAGGAGAAAGGGAACATCGTATGTGGAGTTGATGATAAAGATTTGTTGCGATGATGTTGTTGTGAATTGTTGATGTTTGGCCGTAGGTCACTCTCTCTACCCACAATCGATTCGCCCATTGATATCAATTCTCTTGAAAGAACTCTTAGACGGAACCTTAGGGAACCCACTCTTACAAGGGACCTTGAAACTGAATTCAATATAATGGGGGATAACGTAGGAAATCCGGGGAATGAAAGGGCTGAAATTCCTAATGTAGAACCAATGACTCTTAGAGATCATTTCATTCCTACCACCTATGCTTCTCCTTCTTGTATAGTGATGCCAAACATCGATGCAGCTCAATATGAGATCAAGTCTAGTACCATTCAAATGCTTCCATCATTTCATGGCTTTGATAATGAAGATCCATATAAGCACCTTGATGAGTTCCTTGAAATCTGTTCGACCATCCGGTTGAGAGGTTTTCCGGACAATGCACTTCATCTCCATCTTTTCCCATTCTCCCTAAAGGATAGGGCAAAATTTTGGTTGAACTCCCTCGCTCCCAACTCTATTACTTCTTGGGCTCAATTGCAACAAGAATTTCTTAAGAAGTACTATCCGGTGAGTAAAACCAACCAAATGAGGCGTTCCATTCTAAGCTTTTCTCAAGTTGATGGAGAACAACTCCACGAGACTTGGGAAATGCTACAAGATCTTCTTCGAAAATGTCCTCATCATTTGATCCCAAAATGGCAATTAGTGCAAGCTTTCTATGCCGGTTTGACCGACACCCATAGATTTATGGTTGACTCTTCTTGTGGTGGGATGTTCATGTCCAAGAATGCGGATGAGGCTTGGACCTTACTTGAGAATTTGAGTGAAAATTCACTTCAACACAATTCTCGTAGGGCTCCGACC